TCATGACCCACTGCTCATTGCTGCTAGGATTTCATCTGTTCCTCAGCATCTCCTTTCCCACTCAGACAAAGGCACATGTCAAAGGAGTAAAGAATTGCTAGAAGCTCATCACCTAATGTTGCTGCCATGAACTGCAACATGTGTATTCTTGAAGTAATTACAAGACAGGCACATGGGGTTCTTATTAGCCCACCCGTTCAACTGACTGTGGATGAGTGGATTTTGAGCCCTACATTTAATCAACTCTCTTACTTGCACACACATTTTACATAAACTGAGTATATGCACATGCAAATGGAGAGAGAGTTGCATTTATATATGCAGTTACCTGAATGTAATGAATAATTTTGTGCACAATTTTGCCAAGCTTACTGTGCACTTAACTTGTTTTAAAATCTGGTCCCAAATGTATGTAATGGGAAGTCATACTGGATGGTTTTCTTTTTTAAAGGCAGATAGTTACTAGGGTACATTCTCACATTTACTTTTGTGTGTGTTGTGTCCTCTTCTTATTTTATGTCCTCTATTTGACCCAGAGCAGGTGCAGCAAGGAGCGTGGCAATGCCAGCTTCCTCTCATACTGCCCTGCCAATGTGTTGTGGCTGTTCCATCATCTGCGTCTCTGCTGAGGTTTCCAACAAGAGGGCCAACAGTTACGATTGGGCACTTGTCCATTAGGAAGTGGACTGAGAGCATCAGCTAAACAGCCATTGGATAGTAATGATTTTCACTCACAACTGACCTCGGATGAATGTGAATCTAAATCTGTAGGGGAAAGCCTGTATTTCATTCACTATATATCCCACAAATTTCCATAGACACGGTAGGCCACCATGACTTCCAAGAGAGTCACTGCAATATATAATGGCTCATGAATCCCTTTGATTAAATCCCCTCAGAATGACTCAGAGGTTCTCATGATGGTCTGTTGTGTCAGCAGGGATCACTGACATTTTTATGGGCCTAAAAGAGAAACTACAGTCACATTCAGAGAGCTATCGCAATTCTGTTGTCTCACTGTAACAGTGAACACCTTTCAAATAGAATCAGATTATTTTTTCTTTCTTATTGAAAATACCTCCAGCTAACACTTCTCAGGCAATTAATCAGAAACAGCCATATTGCAGTATTGTCAAAGGTCTAACTAACACCCACCAAAAATAGGAAATTCAAAACTCTCCTGCTCACCTCATGCTGTTGTGCTTAAGGTATTGCTGGGGTCTAACAAACAGTGCCTGCTCTTCTATACTGTACCATATGTGCACAAATATCAAAGCACAGCAGCATGAATTAAGGATAGGATTTCAGCCTTCATTATGAAGTATCTTGCTCTTATGAGAACAAGGTCAAACCCTTAGAATTATTTTAGCATAGATTTTGGTGTTTAATTATGTAATAAGATTTACTGCAGTCATCTAACAGATGTTGATTCAGGGTCAGTGTTTCTCATAAATTAGTTCTGAAAGGATTTGTTACTTCTGGGTCAGCAAATACATCCAGAGTGCAAAGGAAAAGAGGGAAAACAAACACTGAGTTGAAGGGTTTCTTGGGATTCTTTCTTCAGTTACATATCCACATATTTTCATGGTTTTAATGACTATATAGCCATAGGAATGTTTCTCTTAACACTAGAGATGGCCCAAACCAAAACCCTATATCCAAACATCCCCAAAGTCTGGGAAAGTTCAAAGTTTGGGGATCTTAACTTCATGACTCTGGGCCATTGATTTTTCATAGTAGTGGGATGTAATTATCATACGACTCAACAATGGAGCTTACTGAAATGCGTGCTTTAGTTGCAGTCATAAGAATTTTCCTTTTCATATGTACCCAGTGGGTCAGGCATCAAACAGCGATTTTTGCATCCAAATGTAGGGTACGAGATGTCCCAGGCTTTGAACAGCTGTGTGCCTCAAACGTTCAGGACAAGCTTGCTCTGGGCAGAGAAAGTAAGTAGCCCACTGCTCACTGTGTGAGAGATCACTCTGACCCCCAAACCCAATTCACAGAGGATAGTTGTTTGTTATAGCCCCTAGCTACAGATCCTGGCTCTTTAGCTCAAGTTGTAGAGGCCAATGCTTTCGGATCCAGACTCTCCAATTCACTCTCTGAAGTGTTGGCTAAGATGGTGACCATCACACATGTATATTCAAAAGGTGCATATGTGAGATGTATAGCACTCATACTTAAAAGCACCTATTGCCTCTTCCTTTGAAAATTCATCCATAAGTGTTTTTGGAAGTAGGTATATCTGTAGATCCTGCTGTTGGAACTCTCTGAAAGACACCCTACCACCAGTGAGGTTATCCAGAAATATAATTAAAAACACCCAATATATATCTATTATATAATAGTTAATATCAGTGACTTAATAGTTGTGGGTACAGGATTCATTCTGTTCTAACATCTCTCTCTCTCTCTCTCTCTCTCTCTCACACTTCCTTTTTTTTTTTTAAACTCCCTTATAATTTATGCACAGATAAATTCCTTTGGGGCTCAAATGATACTCTGCCAGTTTAACAGTGAACTTTATTTTGCTGGGAATAGTTTCGAGGAAACCAGACAAGGCATTTTTAATAATCTTGTACTTAGCACTCATGTGGCACTTTTCATCTTCAAAGAGTTTTAGATCGTTAATGAATTCTCACACCACACCCCGTGTTCAGATATAGGGAGACTAAGTGACCTATATAAGGCTACATTGGGCGTCAGCAGCAAAGATAGGATTAGAATGAGTGGTTTTGGAGCAATAACTGTGTTCATTCAATGCACGCTTAGAATGCCCAACATGCTAAAGCATTTACTAAAATTGATTGCCTCTGTCTTGGAGAGGTTAGCGGGAGTGAGGGGTAGATACATAAAAGCCTGCATTAAGATGAATCCCAATTATTACTGTCAACTGTAATGGTGTGGCCCTTTAAGGCTACCATACAGCCGTAAATTGAGAACCACAAAATAGTTAGTAGATATAACGTATGAGTTGAAGAGGAATGTAAAGCCAACTGTAAAATAGTATTGGACCCACTTCTGTGGATGTGGTTGGATTTACTATTTGATTCCACAAGATTATCTACAGTCCATTCCACTGCAAAGGAGTGCCTCACTGGTGCTTCATCAGTAACTGTAATATTATTAAACATATGTACAATATAGCAGTGTAAATTTAAATAGCACTTTATACACTGATGAATGGATCTCTCACTTTGGTGTAAATCAGGAATAATTCAGTTGAAGTCAATAGATTTACATCAGTGTAAAAACTGCTGTCAGGAAAGAATCTGGCCCATTAAAAAAAAGACCATCATTGCTAAGAAAATCTTAAAGTTAAATTACCTGAGTTGTGCGTTTAGAAGCAATGAGGTCTAGTGGACAGAGCACTGGACTAATACCTAGGAGACCCTGGTTCTAATCTCAGCTCTCCCACTGACATGCTCTGTGAGCTTTGGCAAGTGACTTCATCTCCTTGTGCCTGTTTCATAGAATATCAGGGTTGGACGGGACCTCAGGAGATCATCTAATCCAATCCCCTGCTCAAAACAGGACCAATCCCCAGACATATTTTTGCCCCAGATCCCTAAACGGCCCCCTCAAAGATTGAGCTCCCAACCATGGGTTTAGCAGGCCAATGCTCAAACCACCGAGCTATCCCTCCCCCTTTCCCCAACCTTTGGCTGTCTTGTCTATTTAGATGTAAGTTCTTCAGAATACGGAGTGCCTCTTACCCTGTTTGAAGTGGAGCCCTTCTCTCAGTCAGAACCTCTAGACATCACCCTACTACAAATAATAAATATTTGCCATTACTATTGCTATATCAGACACAGTGTACATTGTAAGGGATTAGCAGCTGTGGTCCTATGTACGATGTACCAAGTTGGACCGAAGTTCTGCAGAAAGGATCCTGCTTTTATTCTCTAGTGGCGAGTTCTTCAGCAGCCCCAAGTACAGTAAAAGAAAAGAAAAGAAAAGAAAAGAAAAAAGACTTTTAGTGCATGAATTGTGAAAATTAATGATAAAATAGGCACACTGCACACATTTTGAAATTAAATTCACTTTATGCTGCCCTCACATATTCAGTCTGCAATGTGCCACACATTACAAACCCCTAATTGCAATGTAAGAGCTGCTGCAAGGAAGCTAAAAGTTTTGACAGTGAAGTAGTGCGAAATGGGGCATTTGACATCCAGGATGGCTGGGAGGTAATTTGCATTATTGGCACTCCAGAGGCAGAGGTTTTACCACAGGGAAGGGGCCAGGTCTCCTCTTTTCCTCCCCTTTGCTGGCTGAGATGGAGGTGACTTAAAAGACTTGTTGGGGGGAGAAGCCTGAAATCTTTCAGAGTTAACACCCTGATGATGAATTTGATGCTTTACACATCTCAAAGCTATTGTCACAGGGTGTCAATTTGCAGACTTAGGAAGGCACTCAAATTGAAGGGTTTTTGTCACAGCCTTTAAGGGCTAGAATTGATTACAAATGAAAGCTTAAGACATTGTGGAACAGAATTCAGTAACTTCATTGATTCCATAACAAATTCTACTGGCACAGAACATTGGGTACTAGCAGGAGAAAGGTTGTAAGAACTGGAACATCTTCTGCTGGGATTTCCAGAAGTACTCAGTTCTGGTCTGACTCTGTTCCCATTGTTTCAACAGTCAGTGCTTCTGAAAAATCCCACCCTTCACTTTTAGATCCTTCACACTGCAGCTTGTACATTGGTAGTGGCAAATGCCCAGAAAGAGTTATCAAGCAGCGCTCTGCCAAAAATCATTACAAGACAAAAGTCAGCATCACTCAATGCACTGCCTGATGACAACTGTTTCAGAGACAATGCAATCACTAGTTTCATATTGCACGTGTACTAAAACTAGTAAGAAATTTAACAGCAGAATGCAGTGAGGGAGTCAAATATTCATGCCGTCCTCCGATGGGGCTACTTGCAAGCTACTTGATAGAGAAACTAAACAAAAGCTGGTGGCTAATAGGCTGTTTTTCTGTTTCAGTGGAGCATGACAGAGAGTTCCATCATCAACGCTATCACCATCGGGAGTTCAGGTTTGATCTCTCCAGAATCCCAGAGGGGGAAGCAGTGACTGCTGCCGAGTTCAGGATATATAAGGATTACATCCGAGAACGGTTTGATAATGAAACATTCCAGATAAGTGTCTACCAGGTACTGCAGGAGCACCCAGGAAGGTGAGTGACTGGAAAAGAGCATACTGAGTTTATTGTATAACTGTCAGTGAAAATACAGGGCTAGGTTCTACTGCTCCTAGTTAATATAGGGTTGCCAACTTTCTAATTGTACAAAACCGAACACCTTGCCCCTCCCTCTGCCCCACCCCTTCCCCAAGGCCTTGCCCCCCCACTCACTGCAGCCCACCTCCTTCCATCGCTCACTCTCTCCCACCCTCACTCATTTTCATTGGGCAGAGCCAGGGGACTGGAGTGTGGGAAGGGGTAAGGGCTCCAGCCAGGGGTGTGGGCTCCGGGATGAGGCCAGAAATGAGGGGCTCAGGGTGCAGGAGAGGGCTCATGGCTGGGGTTGAAAGTTCGGGTGTGGGAGGGGGGGAGGGGTCTGGGAGGGAATTAGGGTGCGGGAGGGGGTTCCAACCTGGGGTAGGGGTTCGGGGTACGGGTTTAGACTGGGCGGCGCTTACCTCAGGTGGCTCCTGGTTGGCGGCACAGCAGGCCTAAGGCAGGATCCCTGCCTGCCCTGGCTCTGCACTGCTCCTGGAAGCTGCCAGCATGTCCAGCCCCGTGGCTAGAGGCAAGGCCAGGCGGCTCTACGCGGTGCTTGCTGCCTGCACCCCGCCCCTGCAGCTCCCATTGGCAGCGGTTCACGGCCACTTCTGGGGAGCTGTGCAGCAGAGCCAGGGGCCTGCCTTAGCCCCTCAGCGCCGCTGACTGGACTTTAAACGGCCTGGTCAGCGGTGCTGACTGGAGCTGCCAGGGTCCCTTTTCGACCGGGTATTCTGGTCGAAAACCAGATGCCTAGTAACCCTAAATTAATACCAGTGTAAATCCAGATTCAGTGAAGTAACTCTGGATTAATATAGTGAGGTAACCATGAGCAGAATTTGGTTCCTTTAGGAAGTAAGTAAGTATAGTTTGTTCCATTTTAGAGATTGGAAGTGCCAGAGCTTCAGAAAAAGTATATTTATATAATTTTATAGTTTGGTTTAGAGATCATTCATTATGCTTGAATGCCAACAAATCTTAATGGTCTACAGCCTGACACCACTCAGTACTCTGTTAATCCTTTGATTGCCATGTGTGGTACCTACTCAGAGGTTATAAAGCTTCCTGTGGTGACATTAATTGCAGTGTGAAAATTCGGTAGAATGTAAGTACAGCATATCCCTTCAGGAAGTTTTTGCCATGTCTGGACTGTCTACTAGCCATGGAGCAGTAAAGCAGAGATGGGAGAGAGGCACTGCATGTATGTGTCTGTACTGGGAGGGGAAGGTCGGAGGAGAGAAATTGGATCATAGACAAAGTATTGTAAAATTTTAGAAAGAACTGCCCTCTTCCTCCTGCTGCTTATGGATTCTGGGGTGGCAAAAACCACATCTGAATACTTCCTCTCTAACCCTAGGGTCTCTTATTTACTAATCTTTATTACAAGAGTCATTTGAGATCCCTAATTAACACAGACAGATGACACCATGCTCTTCATATCAACTGATTGGTTTTGTGTGCACAAAACTAGAAAATGAGCTATTTAATCCATATCAAGCAATTATTAATTTGCGCCATGCTCCCTGACAAATTCTTCAGGAAACTTGAACAAGAACACGTTTAATTTTCTCATCTGTTTTTAGTCCCAATTAATCAGCAACCTCAAAACCATTTATCGGTAACACTTAGTCAGATGCATTTGCACATGTCTCTTTTACACATGAATCCCATTGACAGTAGCAAAATCCTTCCTGCAGTTATGCATATAAAGTACTTCACAAATATTGGTCAGAAAGTTATTCTCCACAACTACTTAACATGTACCAATAACATTACATGTACCTGAAATAGAGCTATTACAACGCCAAACAACAGATCTGAAAACAAGAAGAACAAAAAAATAGTCCAATGAGAATGCTTGCTTTGTATTTAACTATTTATTGCAGATGGTCAAAAATTCAGGGGAAAATAAAACAAATAAATTTGCTGTCTAAGTAAATGTTCATTTCAAATTTATTCTACACACAGAAGTTCTTTCAAATTCTTGCTTGCAATGTACAAACCAAAAAGTTGGAGGATATGTTGCCCCAATTCTGGTTACCCTACTCAGTCACACAAGGCTTGAAGAATGGCATCTCCAAAGGTTCTTTGCGACTAACTTTGCAGAGGGGTGTAACTAGACGGGACCATGTGAATTGGGGATGGTTCACATGTACATGCATTTACCCATATGCAGCTAGTTGGACTGAGCAATGGTTCTTGCAAACCATCCCTTGCACAAGTTATTCTTACTCCTATAAGCAAAGTACATGAGAGAGTGGATGCACTGCCTATATATGAATCCATTAGGTAGGGAAGACGTGTTTGGGAAGAAAATTATCAGGGGGTAGCAGTGTTAGTCTGTATCTACAAAAACAACAAGGAGTCTGGTGGCACCTTAAAGACTAACAGATTTATTTGGGCATAATCTTTCGTGGGTAAAAACCTCACTTCTTCAGATGCATAGAATGAAAGCTAGATGAACTTGTGATTAGCACATGCCACTACTGCAATACATAAGCTACAATACATAAGATGAGCAGGCACACTGGGGTACCCACTCTCTCCAGGGGTTTTGTGAGGATTAAGGGTGATGATCAATGGCTAAACTCAGTCCAGGTGAAAGTGGGTGCATCTCCATGGAAGTCAATAGAACATGCCTACTTAGAACTGGATGGAAATTGGCTTTAGATGTTTCGAAAAGCACTGTTTTGTACATCTTTTTGGAGGCAGATTTGTAAGTACAGAACATGTACGCATCTGAGCTGGAAATTCTACATTCCATGTCCCATTTTCTCATGCTGCTCACAGGGCTGATGATCTGCAGCTTGGGCTTTCTCTTTTATCTCCTGTTTCAACAAGATCAGCTTTTTTTAGCCACAGTCGATACGCATGGAGGACATGTGACTGACATGGGTAGCTGCGAGATCTGTTTTTCTAGCTGAACATCTGGCTCTTTAGCTAGTATTTACAAGGGCTCCATAAAAATCTTTGGGATACTTGAGACATAGGCAGCCGTGGATCTTGAACTGTCTGTTTCTGCTGGAGAGCATTTCCTGTTGACTTTTCTTGAGTAGAGGTGGCCAAAAAAACCACAAATATTTTCACAAAAATTGGTGAAAATGTTCTCTGCTTTGCATTGAAATTATATTTCAGCTAAAGTTTTCCAACCAGCTCTGTTTATGACCCTCCAATCAGATTAAAGCTGTATAAACAGTCCAGGCTATCAGGTTATTGTGTCTCGGGGCAGGTGGAGAGAGAAAGCAAACTCTCTCCAATGTTGACCTATAAACACACCTTTTTTCCTTGGTTGTTTGTTTCCGTCCTTCTAACCAGGTTAGAGGACTATACCAGTCTAATGTAATTAGCATTAAAAAAACCCTAAGAAAATCTAGACATATAAGCAAAGGTTCTTTTACTGAGAGCACAACAAGTACAGTGTCCTTTTAAAGTTAAATGCAAAGATGAACTGGCCTTTTTCTCTTCTAATACTGTTGGAGTCTCCATAGTGCCAACTTGACCATTACATAAGGATGTGAGTGTGAATGAGAAGGGCCATCTAACAGCAGATTCTCCAGGATTGTTCCTCTTATGACTTGCCTCACGTTTACCAGTGCACAGGAACTCACCTCCGTACTATACAGAATCTACAGCAGTTCTCAACCTGTGGCTCGCGGGCCGCTTGCGGCCCAATCAGCACAGAGCTGTGTCCCATGTGACATCCTCAGGGCCATAGAGGTACTATTGGATTCAGCCCACATAACACATTGTGAGCCACATATAGGTTGAGAACCATTGGCCTACAGCATCCTGTCACCTTTCTAATACAGTGGAATGACACCAGTTCAATGATCAAAGAAGCCTCCACAGCTGCAGAAACAGGATTTACCCCAAAGACCTGGGTTGAGGCCCCATAAACATTTCTCCTTTGAAGAGTACTGTATGTATGCCAAAGGCTTGGTTTTCATCTATGACCCAACATCCATTTTTATGGATGCAGTTTTTCACCCACAATGCAGATTAATCATAAGAATGGCATTACTGGGTTGGACCAATGTTTCATCTAGCCCAGAATCCCATCTTCTGACAGTGGCCAATGTCAGATACTTCAGAGGGAATGAACAGAACAGGGCAATTATTGAGTGATCCATCCCCTTTCGTTCTGTGCCAGCATCTGGCAGTCAGAGACTTAAGGACACCCAGAGCATGGGTAAATACTAGTAGTTGAGCAATTAATTACTTGCTTTGTAAGCTCAAATAGGTTGATAGTTATCTAGTTAGTAATATTTGTACTTTTACTTCATTGTGGGTGCAAAATAAAGGCACAGTTCTTTCTGGCCATACATATCTGCACCCACAAACTAGAACCCATATCTGAAATTCTGGGCCTCCGTAATATTATTAACTTTGAATGTACTATACACTGTATAATGTGCATAAAGCAACCATATCAGTGAAAATGAGATCACAGCTATATTCTTTGAATCAAGGCTGGATGCCTTTCTGGAAGTTATGCTTTAGCCAAACATAAGTTATGATTTAGTAAAACACAAGTTATTGGGCTCAAGACAGAGGTAACTGGGTGAAATTTAATGACCTGTGATATACAGGAGGTCAGATTGGATGATCTAATGGTCCCTTCTGGCCTTAAACTCTATGAATCTAATAATTCATTGCAAGTTGCAGTTTCAATGTTGGCACAATTCCCTCTACAAAAGTATATAAAATGTTCTTCAGTCTCAAAACATCAGGCACTACCCTGAAGCAATGTCTTGAATTTCATAAACACTGTGAAAGCAGTTGACCCTTTGACTGATATAACAATGTCTCACAGTTTCCTTGGGCATAATTTAGTGTCCAGTGATTCGTGTCCAACTCCCATTTGGTCTTCATGGTTCACTCACCTAAGAACTTGGGAAGGAGTTTTGCAAATGCAAGAAATTGGATCAAGTAACATGCCGTGCAGCATGACCTAA